GTATATATGCCATGGCATGAATATGGAGGTTAGAGGACAACTTTGGGGAACTGGTTCTCTCTTCCTACTGCATAGGTCATGTAGATCAGGCTCAGGTCTTCAGGCTTAGCAGCTTGTACCTTTACCACCTGAGCCATCTCACCAGTCTGCTTTTCTTTTGAGAAGAGTCGTTATAGACCCCAAACCTAAAAACAAAATGTAAGGAACTAGAGCCAAAGTGGGGCCTGGCAATACATTCATAAGTCAAACACTTGCACTCTTTGACTTGAATCACCATGTCTTCCAGATTACAACAGTGTTTCAGGGACTTATTGGGTCACAGAAAAATCCCTTAAGGGTGTATTTTTGCCAAAAGTAATTTTTCTGGAAAAGTCCAGTTTGGGGAGGTAGGATGTCAGTACAGTGGCCCTGATACACCTTCAATCCTGTGGGTTGGAAATGATCTTCAAAGCCACCTTTCAACTTTCAAACATTACATGCAACCTGCTCAGCCACAGAACAGTCAGTTTTTCATGATTTTAAGACTTATTCACAGCCAGCATGGTGGTATACACCTTTAATCCTAGCACTAGGGAGGCAGAGGCAGGAGGATCCCTGTGAGTTCAAGGCCAGCCTGGTCTACATAGTGAGTTCCAGGCCAGCTGGGGCTACAGGGAGACCCTGTCAAATCAAAAAAAAAAAAAAAAAAAAAAAAAAAGACATATTTACAGACCTTCAGGAGAATTCAGTGACCAGGTATAAAAGCTAGTTTGGTTGCAGTTTTAAGACTGCACTTGCTAGAAAGTTCCTAGTTTTACCTTAGTCCAATTTCTTACACTTTCTTGGTTCCTTGTTTTTATAGCCAGTTCTCAGTTTACCACGTTTCAACCTATAATTTGGGGTTTATGGGAATACTAAAGTACATTTTTTTAAACTTAGGTCATTTTCTAATTAAAATGAGCTTAATGGGCCAAGTCTGGTGGTACACCCCTATAATCCCAGCACTTCGGAAGTAGAGGCAGGAGTATCAGGATTTCAAAGCCAGCCTAAGCTACATGGTGAGTTAAGGTCAGCCTAGAGAACCTGTCTTAAAAAAGCAAATTCTAGGGACTGGAGAGATGGCTCAGTGATTGAGTGCTTCCTGCTCTTCCAAAGAACTAGAGTTCAATTCCCAGTACCCACATCAGGTAGCTCACAACCACCTAAAACTCTAGCTCCAAGTAATCTGACACACTCTTTTGGCCTCCTTTGGTACCTATATAAATGTGGCATACATTCACACGAACACACATAGACATAAATAAAAATCAAAAATCTTTAAAAAAAAACAGTGAAAAATGGGTTTATTGAGATTTAACTCTTGTAAGTGGAGCCACACTGTAGTTTGAGTATGAGACATGGGAAATTTTAAGCTAAAAGCTATCAGAAGCTATTAAAAACACGAGAGGGGGCTGGAGAGATGGCTCAGTGGTTAAGGGCACCAGCTGCTCTTGCAGAGGACCCAGGTTCACTTCCCAGCACCCACATGGTGGCTAACAGCTGTCCATAACTTCAGTTCCAGGGGATCTGATGCCCTCTTCTGACCTCCATGGGCATTGCATGACACAGTGCGCTTATATACATGCAGGCAGGCAATGCACTCATACACATAAAATAAAGATAATAAGTAAAAATAAAAACATGAGAATGACATTAGGAATACTTCCCAGCAGACAACTAGCCATCTGTGTTGAGGCTGCATCAGAAGTTGGTAACATTGCCTTTCTTGCTGTATTACACAGGGGAGAAGGGAAGGGAGCTGGTACTCATGTCCTCTTTGCTAAGCTTTTTGCACAGTGTTCCTTTAATCTTTGAAGAATCTGTGAGGTCAGTAGCATTGTTTCCATTGTAAGAGGAGGAAATTGAGGTTTAGAGAAGGAAAGCTCCACAGCTGCCCTACAGAGTGGCCACATATGCACCACCCTCAGCACATGCCCACCCAGATCCTCCATTTCAGCCTCACAGTGGCCTATGTAGCACCTCCCCTGCTTGAAGGAGGAAACTGAAGTTCAGACACCTTATTAAGGACTGAACACTGGGACCCTAACAATAAAACTCCATCTGCTTCAGAACCCCTATCTACTAGTAGCTATAATAGGTACCTATAAACCAAGAGTGAGACGTTCGTTAGTTCCAAGCAGGGTTAGAATTGCCAAAATCTTTGATATAATTGTTTGCTTCTAACTACCCAGAAGTGCTAGGCACGGTGACTCGTGCCTGTAATCCCAGCACTTGAGAGACTAAGGCAGGAGGATCACCTAACAAAAGTCCTGGGTCAGCCTGGACTACAAGAGTGTGACCCTGTCTCAAAAAACAAGGGTTTGAGGGTGTGGCTCTGTTGGTTAAAGATGCTTGCTGCCAAACCTGACAACCCAAATTCAGTTCCTGGGTTACATAGTGGAAGGAGAGAACTGACTCCCACAAGTTGTCCTCTGACCTCCACAAGCATGCTGTGAAATGTTTGTACACACACACACACACACACACACACACACACACACA